TTCAATGTCAGCACTTCAGCTTTTTGTCCTTTTGTCTTTGAGCAATTCTACTTAAATTTTCTTTTTTTTTAATAATAAATTTATTTTTTATTGGTGTTCGATTTGCCAACATACAGAATAACACCCAGTGCTCGTCCCGTCAAGTGCCCCCCTCAGTGCCTGCCCTCCTCCCCTTCCACCACCCCTAGTTCGGTTCACAGAGTTAGGAGTCTTTATGTTCTGTCTCCCTTTCTGATATTTCCCACACATTTCTTCTCCCTTCCCTTCTATTCCCTTTTACTATTATTTATATTCCCCAAATGAATGAGAACATATAATGTTTGTCCTTCTCCAATTGACTCATTTCACTCAGCATAATACCCTCCAGTTCCATCCACGTTGAAGCAAATGGTGGGTATTTGTCGTTTCTAATGGCTGAGTAATATTCCATTGTATTCATAAACCACATCTTCTTTATCCACTCATCTTCCGATGGACACCGAGGCTCCTTCCACAGTTTGGCTATTGTGGACATTGCTGCTAGAAACATCGGGATGCAGGTGTCTGGCGTTTCATTGCATCTGTATCTTTGGGGTAAATCCCCAACAGTGCAATTGCTGGGTCGTAGGGCAGGTCTATTTTTAACTCTTTGAGGAACCTCCACACAGTTTTCCAGAGTGGCTGCACCAGTTCACATTCCCACCAACAGTGTAAGAGGGTTCCCTTTTCTCCACATCCTCTCCAACATTTGTTGTTTCCTGCCTTGTTAATTTTCCCCATTCTCACTGGTGTGAGGTGGTATCTCATCGTGGTTTTGATTTGTATTTCCCTGATGGCAAGTGATGCAGAGCATTTTCTCATGTGCATGTTGGCCATGTCTATGTCTTCCTCTGTGAGATTTCTGTTCATGTCTCTTGCCCATTTCATGATTGGATTGTTTGTTTCCTTGCTGTTGAGTTTAGTAAGTTCTTTATAGGTCTTGGAAACTAGCCCTTTATCTGATACGTCATTTGCAAATATCTTCTCCCATTCTGTAGGTTGTCTTTGAGTTTTGTTGACTGTATCCTTTGCTGTGCAAAAGCTTCTTATCTTGATGAAGTCCCAATAGTTCATTTTTGCTTTTGTTTCTTTGGCTTCGTGCATGTATCTTGTAAGAAGTTACTGTGGCCGAGTTCAAAAAGGGTGTTGCCTGTGTTCTCCTCTAGGATTTTGATGGAATCTTGTCTCACATTTAGATCTTTCATCCATTTTGAGTTTATCTTTGTGTATGGTGAAAGAGAGTGGTCTAGTTTCATTCTTCTGCATGTGGTTGTCCAATTTTCCCAGCACCATCTATTGAAGAGACTGTCTTTCTTCCAGTGGGTAGTCTTTCCTCCTTTATCGAATATTAGTTGACCATAAAGTTGAGGGTCCACTTCTAGATTCTCTTTTCTGTTCCATTGATCTATGTGTCTGTTTTTGTGCCAGTACCAAACTGTCTTGATGACCACAGCTTTGTAGTACAACCTGAATCTGGCATTGTGATGCCCCCAGCTATGGTTTTCTTTTTTAATATTCGGGGCTATTCGGGGTCTTTTCGGGGTCTTTTCTGGGGTCTTTTCTGATTCCACACAAATCTTAAAATAATTTGTTCTAACTCTCTGAAGAAAGTCCATGGTATTTTGATAGGGATTGCATTATACGTGTAAATTGCCCTGGGTAGCATTGACATTTTCACAATATTAATTCTGCCAATCCATGAGCATGGAATATTTTTCCATCTCTTTGTATCTTCCTCAATTTCTTTCAGAAGTGTTCTATAGTTTTTAGGGTATAGATGATCCTTTACCTCTTTGGTTAGGTTTATTCCTTCTACCTAAATTTTCTTTATGTTATGAAGTAGGAAATAAAAGTCATTAGGGCTAACTGATTTGTCCAGGTTAATAATGAATATTATTATTATTATCTTTAATAATGAATATTAGAACTAATGATCAAATTCTGTTTGAATTCTTGTCCATATACACAATTAACTCTAATGTATTGAATATGTTAGAAAATAAAATATACTTTACAGGTATTCTAACTATATATAAGAATTTCATGTGTTTGAGAACGACAGGTATATATTTTATTTAAACACTATGTAATTAGTGAGATTGCTGCCTTTTAGTTCTGGTTATGTTTTAGACCAACCACTTTTATCCCTAAATTTTTTGGTTTGCAAGCATAAGTAGATACCTTTTATTTCTTTCTCCCAGGAGTAGTCTAAGTAAGATGTCAATCACATGCATAAGGTGTAGTGATCATTGATGAAAGGAATCTTAAGAGAACATTTAACTTAGTGCCAAATTCAGGGAAGGAGAGCCCACAGCTTCTTTTAATAATGCTTATTTTATTAATGACTTTTGCTGAAAGAAAAATGTTTCTTCATGGAAATTCTGAGAAAATTTCTCTGGACTCTATTGTTTCAGAACACCTTCATAAAAAACCAAGTAGGTATTAGCTGAAAAATAGATGTAGCTGAAATTTTGAGCCTAATTTTCATATAGGAGAATAATTTAATGGCTTGGGATGGGGGTTTTGATTTCATTTGCATTCTAGGAGGCAGTATAGTGTAAATTAAATTAGCTCTGGGTTTAAATTCCAGCTCTGCCACTTAATAATGTGTGACTTTGGCCAAATAATTTAACTTTTTGAATTTCAATACCTTTTTCATAAGGTCATTTAAGGCTTAAATGATACCCATGTAGAGAAGACCTAACTCATTCCTAAATACCTTACAGAAACTCAGTAAATATTGGTGTCGTCCATTTTTTCTGTGTTTACATGTTGGCAAACAGGAATGTTGATAAAGAGTAAGAGAGGAATCATTTCTTCTTTCCCCAGGAATGTATTCCCTGGCACTAATGAGAATGATACATCTCTCCAAATACTTACTTTACCAATAGTTAATAACTTATAATAAAGTGATTTGCCTCTTTGCTTTTATATAATTTGACCTTAAAAAAAAGAGATTTGTATATGTATTGAATATATACAAAATGTCACAAAAGATAGTCTTAAAATTTGAAGGGAATAATTATGAAGATCATCTGTTCCTTTTAGTTTCTTGGGGCAGTATTCCCGTCCAGGAACTTCCCGATCTGTATCAGTGCTCTGCCTAGTTTTACAGATTGTGGTCTCACTTCCTCTTAAGACAGTAAACAAGTTTTTCTGCTGTCTGTGGGAACCATATCTTAGTCATTTTTTATCCCATAGGATAGTAAGTACCCAACTCAAAATAGGATTTTATTTAATGAATAGCTGAGGTTCAGATTTTTTTAAAGTACTTTTTATATTTTTTTTTCATATATAAACTTTAAAATTTAGTCAACATGTTTTATTACTCCTGGTCAAAAATTAATTTTTTCAACTGTATTGACAAAATTAAATAAGGAACATTGATTTATATTTATGTGTGATATCACTTATTATATAATCTAGAAATGAATAGCTTATTCCAAGGAGAGAGTTAAAAATTAAATACTATTTACATCACTTTCATTCAGTTCTTTTTTGGAGCATAATCTATTTCTGAAGGTTGAAAACAATACATTTTTAAAAATATCTTATACTTTATTTTGCAGTGTCTTTTGCACTCATTGTCTGTAATGTTAATGCTCCAGTTCACTGACTCATCAGACTGGACAAAAACAACCAACATCCAGCTATATGATATTTAAGAAGATCATCCAAAACCTAATAATAATAAGGAAAAATGGAAAATAGAAGGACAAATATATGCCATCCAAACACTAACTAAAAGAAAGCTATTGTAGTTATAGTAACAGTAAATCAAAAGTTAAGGGAAGGGGTCCCTGGGTGGTGCAGTGGTTTGGTGCCTGCCTTTGGCCCAGGGTGCGATCCTGGAGACCCGGGATCGAATCCCACGTCAGGCTCCCGGTGCATGGAGCCTGCTTCTCCCTCTGCCTATGTCTCTGCCTCTCTCTCTCTCTCCCTGTGTGACTATCATAAATAAATAAAAATTAAAAAAAAAAGTTAAGGGAAAAAAGCATAAATAGATATAAATGGAGTTACTTCATAATGATAAAGGTTCAGTTAACCTAGAAGCTATAACAATTCTAAATGTATATTCACATTTCCTGTGATTTTTAAACTTGTGTATTTTATTGCTCCAATTTTTAATTGAATGCTCTCTTCCCAATTTCATGCTATCAGCAAATTTTTTAAAAACATTTTTCTTCATAATTTGTATTCAGCTGATTTCTTACACAAAATAAATGACTCCCTTATTAATACTAATCCCTGTAGCAATTTGTTTTTGCTTATAGATTCTTGTATTATTCAGTAGTCTTTATGTCTGTTCCTGTCCGACTAAGGAACAAGGGTATTGGCTAATAGTCTTGAAAGATATTTGATACTAAATTATATAAAACTACCATACATAAGAACATAATTGCAGTGGATGATATAGTTTACAATCCATCTCTTTAGAATTCTATTTCTTAGATCTTGAATGTGTCTATGAGAAGTTAAAAACAGGTTGTCCATAGGAGGAGTAGCCATGTGTTTTGATTCCAACTACCTTGCCCTTCATTTTTGCTTCTTGTGCCTTATTATTTGCATTTTGGCTTATGAATAATAGGTACTTGTTAGAATGTTTACATCTGCATAAGTTTCCCAGGTACTTATTCTTCAGAGTGCAGGAGCAATCTTTTAGGAGTTCACATAACAATGTGGAAGACATTACCATATATCTTACTACATATCTTGACACAGTATCCATTCCTATTCATTGATGCAAGAAACATCTACCAGGTTCTAGTCTTTGATAAGCCTTATTAGCAAAAGTATACTAAAATTGTATTTGTTTTATTGAACAGAGTAATGAATTCTCACCTACTTTTTTTTTTCTTTCCTAAGAAATCCGAGCATTTGATTCATTTCATATAATGGGGGAGAGGGAGAGCATTTCCCAAAGAAACATAGGCATTGTGTTAATTATAAAATGAATTAATGGAAATCTTTAAATTTTTCAGGATGAGAGAGACCCAGAGAAGGAAGATGAACTGGAACTGAAAAGAGGTCTTTTATACAGAGACTCTGCCTATGACAGTGACCCAGAGTATAGGTATGAGCCCGATTAATGCAGCGTGTAGAGACCTTTCTCACAGTTGGCATAAATATAACCTGCCTTTTAATGTGTTGGATTTGTGGGAAATTTAGACTCAATTTAATCATTATTATTTATTTATGTTTTATGTTTAACAGTATAAAATCCTATTAAAATACTTTAATGATTACATTACTGCAACTTTTCCGTGAAAACAAATATAGTCAATTAAGAGTGATACTTTTCATTTTACTTAAGATTTATGGTGTATTTGTCCTGCAAACCCAACATCTCCAGGGCATATTTATTCTCATTCAAACAACAGTTTACATAATTTTAGACCATGAGCAAGCTTTTTTTTTTAATAACATAAGAAAAACTGTTCTTCTAGCCTAACATTTTAGTAATAATGTTAGTAATAACAAAATTTTTGCAAGATTATGCTAGCAAGTGTCATGAAGATTTTTTTTAAGATTTTATTTATTTATTCATGAGAGTATGTACACAGAGAGAAAGAAAGGCAGAGACACAGGCAGAGGGAGAAGCAGGCTCCTCACAGGGAGCCTGATGTGAGACTTGATCCCGGGTCTCCAGGTCACGCACTGGATTGAAGGCGGCACTAAACCACTGAGCCACCTGGGCTGCCTCTTGAAGATTTTTAAAAGCTCTGTGTCAGTTGCCATAGAAGGTGGTATTAAAAGCTGAATGTAAATTGTGAGTTTATGTAACTAAGGTTCTCTGAATCCTTTGGTGCTATACCACTGATGACCACATGGCTTCTACTTTCTTCCTGAGTTTCTGGAAAAACAAGTATAAGAAAAAAAGCCCCGGATAATGGAATATGTTTTATTACTAATTTGAGTTTTGGCCTGAAGTTTCTGATCTTTACCCTGGTAAGTTAGGCTAGATATCCTGTGAACATGTGAGAACTTGTTTTGCCGCTTACACAGAGTATAAATGTCAACTCATCTCCCAGAGCTACTGCTTTGCAACCAACAGGCAACCTTGGCCTCTCATTAAGGGAAGTAGCATATTACAGGTGAATTTGTAGAAGCAAAAAAAAAAAAAAAAAGAGAGAGAAGAATTTGTAGAAGCAATCCAGCCAGGAAAAAGGAGATCCAAGAAAGTCCACCCCTTAAAGAATTACCTTTTATTATTATTTATTAAAACTCTATTCTCCAGATTGCTACTATATGGATTGACATTTCAATTTTGGTTCTTAATCCATAAAGTTAATTCTAATTGGGTAAGAATGAATAGGACTGATAAAGGAAACTGTCTGTTTTTTGTACTTCTGTATGCATAATAATGACCTGAGTTGCATCTTAAAAATACATATTTATTCTTCCTATGCCCTTGGGTTCTAAATCTTTACCTATTGGTAAAGACCTAGAAACCTGCATTTTAAGAAATATCATGAATGCTCCTAATGTAGCTAGTGTAAGAACCACATTTTGAAAAGCACTGTTACCAAGCAATGTTAATGGCTAAGCTTTTGATTACCTGAGATTATTTTGGCACCTCTCAAGTAAGAGTTAAGCAGAGTATCAGAAAAGTTCTGCTTACACATTTTTTAAGATTTTTTTAAATTCCTTGTCACTTCTCTTATGTACATATTCAGACTGATAGAACCAAGTGGTCAGGCCTTCAAAACCTTTTATAAGAGTATATTTGATATTAGCTCCAGAAACTACTGAAATGATCAGAATATTATTTTATCCCTAAGTCATATTATATATTAGGCCAAGGAGTCACTCTCCTACTTCCATCTCAAAGACGAGACAACCTGCCCTCAAAGTGATCACCCATTTGCTTAAGGCTTCCATCAGGAGAAATCAAGAGATTTGGGATCTTGGCTTAATATCACCCCTCTGCAGACACACATTGACACAGAGGTCCTGAAGAAGTCTGCATGGACTCCTGGAATGGCTGAGTGATGAGCTTAGCAAATCTTCTCTTCCCCCAAGCAACAACTAGATAGAATTGTCAAAAACAAAAATTTTTAGGACTTTGAAAATTAACCAAAGGTGTATAACAAATTGAGAAGCATTTCTCAAGAAAGTCTACTGAGCCTCAATAAGGGCAATAAGGAACCTAGGGCATTTTGCCTGGAACTTCCCATACCCAGCTCCTTAGGGCAGTCATGCTAAAAGACTGGGCAGCTCTGCTGACAGAGGAGGCTGACTATATGGAGCAGAGCATGGGAAATCCCATGTGCATGGAGATGAATAGAAACAATAATGATCCCACTGGCAAAGTAAAAGAAGACTGAGGTCTCACTACTTGTTGGGACAGACAGCAAAGATCCAGGGACCAGCTAGCCAAAGTTGGTCTTGATAAAATTGTACTTATCCCTGGTAGTCTGGAACATTATGTGTATGTGTAAGGTTGTAAATATGTTCAGGAGAAACTGGAGAGGGCCTTTGGAAGCCACTAGTCCATGGCTGAATGTGAGGCCTTGTGAAAGCAGAAAGTAATATCCAGGACAGACTTGTAAACTGGATAAACTTTGAATGTATATTCCAAGGCACACATAGATCCATTAGCAAAAGATGGAAAAAGCCTTTCTGACCAGTCATTTGCTCGTCACCAACCTATGCTGACTCAGGAGCAGCCCCTATGAGTCCAAGCTTAAAAGTAGAAACAATATTTTTCTAAAAAAGAAAAGGAGTAAGAGACACCAGAAACTATACAGGACAAGGAAAACAGACTTAAAGTATTAGTCTAGGTAGGACACTAAACAAATAATTAAAAACAAAGCCCTGGTAAGGTCAAAATGTGCAGCTTTTGTCTAAAGTATTGTTTTTGACAAAAAATTATGAGATATGCAAGAAATAGGAAAATCTAACCAATACAATTGAAGAATGAATTACTATAAACTGTCTCTGAAGAGGCTCAGATATTGGATTTAGCAGCTGTGTTCAAAGAATTAAAAGGATATAAAATGGCAGTGACTCATCAAAGAAAGAATATCAATATTTTCCTTAAAGATTATGCCCAGGACTCAGTATTTTATCTTATTTTTTTAAAGATTTATTTATTTATGATAGACCTAGAGAGAGAGAGGCAAAGACACAGGCAGAGGGAGAAGCAGGCTGCATGCCGGGAGCCCGACGTGGAACTCGATCCCGGGTCTCCAGGATCAGGCCCTGGGGCCAAAGGCAGGCGCTAAACCGCTGAGCCACCCAGGGATTCCCAGTATTTTATCTTATGATCGAAATATGCATTGTGCTTATCATCCATGGAATATAGCAGAGATTCAGTGTTTTCTGTACAAAGAGCAGAATGGGAAATTGAAGTGCCCGTTTACGTATGCATTAGCCTATACATTCTAGCCTATACATGGAAGTCCTATGTCTTCCATCATCTTTGAGTATAAAATTCATTTGGAAGAAATTTCTTATCAAAGAGTTGTTAAGTAACCTTTTACTTCAAGTACTTTGGGATTTGGAGCTAGATTTTGGAAAGAAACTACTACCTAGGCTGACTTCCTTCTCTCTTACATATTGCCTATCTTTTAGAAAATTTTAGAGTGCCTGGGCAGCTCAGTTGGTTGAGCATCTGCCTTAGGCTCAGGTCATGATCTCGGGACTTAATATTGACTCCTAGGATCAAGCCCCACATCCAGCAGAGGATGGCTGGGGCTGGATGGCAGGCTGCTCAGCAGGGAGCCTGCTTTTCCTTCTCTGCACTACCTCATGCTCTTTCTCACTATCTCTCTCAAATTCTTAAAAAAAAAAAAAAAAAAAAAAAAAGAAAGAAAGAAAAAAAGAAAGGAAAATTCTAGACATTTGCAGTGGTAGCCTTATCAGTTCTCAGAGTGCTGAGATACTTTTTAGTACCTGCTATGTGTATTTCAAATTTCTTCAGTTTTCAGGATGTTTAAATTTCTCCATACTGTTGTATACTTTAGACATAACTACCTTATTGGAATGTTAGTCCTAATTAAAAACCATATATGAGTGATGCTTCATACAGATGGGAACTGGTCACAAAAAGAAGTAAGGATAAAAATAATTTTTAGTTCATTATTAGAATGTGAATTGACCTTTTAAGACTATTGCCTAAAATTTTTAACCAAATCCTTTATGGAACTATTCAGATAAACTATTTTCTATTTACTTATGCATATTTTTAAGATTGCTAACAGTAGAAATATGCTCAATATAATGTTTTAATTTTGAAATTATTTGTAACAGAACTGAGTAATTTAAATTTTGACTATATATGTTTTTAAGTTTTTACATATTCCAGAATAGTTAACATACAATGTTATCTTAAGTTTCAGGTGTACAGTATAGCGATTCAGTAATTCCATGCATCACCTGGTGCTCATCACAACAAGTGCTCTCCTTAATCCCCATCACCTTTTTCACCCATCCCTTACCTCTGCCCCTCTGGTACCCAGCAGTTGACTATATATTTTTGAATAACAACAGGCTTGACTATAGTTTTCATCTCTTCCCTCTGGGGCACTATCTGATTAATCTGATGAATCTACTAAGATGTAGTAAATAACCAAAAGGCTGTCTTTAATATTAACAAATGGAAGAAAAAAAATCTAAATAATATACAGACCTAAAATCTCTCAAATAACTAAAAATAAGCCTTCATTTTTAAGTGAGAAAAATGTTGGTTCATTCTAATTAGAATTCATGGGATCTTGAGTTATTAACTCAAGTATCATTAAATCCTTTTTCATTAAATACTTAAGATTTAATTTTTCTTTTTAAAAAATGTCTAGAAGGTATATTGGTACTCAGAAATATTGAGGGTGCTGCACATTTATGTGATTTTTCAAAGTGTTGTAAAACTTGCAGTTTAGGAGTCTAGAAAAGTCTCTGATGATTAGGACAGGGCAGTGTTGTATTCATTTTTTTTTTTGTATTCATTTTTTAAGACAAAAATATCACCTTGGTAATTAGACTTAATATTGACTCTAGGGCGGGGCGCCTGGGTGGCTCAGTGGTTGACCAACTGCCTTCAGCTCAGGTCATGATCCTGGGGTCCTGGGATCA